AAGCAAATCACTTTTACTTTGTTCCGGCTCACTTTCACAAACTTCACTGGCCATCAATCCATCACCCACCAGAAATCTACACTGATCTTCCTCAGTTAGGGCTTCAAACTGACCAACATTAATTTGCTCTAAATAAATGTTTTCCTGAGCTTCTTTCTGCGCTTCGTCTAATTCCAGATTCACTTCTGAGATATTAGACAGACATTCAGAAATTTCTTCACCATATAAACTGCTTTTCTGACTGGACAAAAAGCTATTTTCCATAATCCCAAGGCTAGAGACGCTCTCTTCCTGGTTATAGCATACCTGGTTAAAAACATACAACTGCTTGGAGTCAAACACCCGCCCTTCACAGATCTCCCTGTCTGTTACAGATAACACAGAGGATTCACATTCATGCTTTTTCTGGGAGTGAGTTATGACATTCCCCTGATTAAACATGGTTACCACATCATTATTAAACAACATACCAGCATTGTTATAAACTGAACACATTCTGCTGTAGAGAGGAGCTGGACTACCAGGATAACACAGTTCCTGCTGTTCTTTCATTATTTTGATTTGGAGTTTAAGTCTGGCAACCTCAGTCTCAGCTTGCAGCAGCTCCATCTGCTTCCTGTGAGATTCTCTGTCTCTCTCCTCCGCTTCTTTTTCCAGCTGGGCCAAGGTTTGCTTCTCTTGCATCTGAAGTTCTGCCATTTCTCTCTCATGCTGAAGACACTCTCTCAGGGCTTACCGTTTTGATTGTGGATCACTCATTGTGACTAACTTTAACCTTTAACACTCTCAGTTTTAAATTTCAAATTTGGAATAGCGTGGGGTTTTGATCCCCAACCCCAATGATCTGGTTCTGTGGATCCTGCCATGACTACACCAATGTGCTCTGTGGTGCCTGGGGGCAGCCCTCATTGGAAATGCCAAGGGCAGGGCAGGCTGCAAAAGGGAGAGCAGATACTCCCAAGACTAGTGGGTAACACTGAAGTTAAACTCCCCAACCAGTCACAAACTGTGCTTCTAATCCCCCACACTGATTACCAAGAAGCAAAAAAAGAAATCACACAACCCCCTTATTGCATTCCAGTTCTCTGGCTCCCAGTGAGCACCTAGGTCCAGTATAGTGAGAAGTTATTTTAAAAACTCTGCTCACATATAGAAAATGTTAGTCTGATCCCAAAGTGTCAGCCACATTACCAGGTCAGTATAGGTTTGGATCTTACCCAAAATACCATGCTGCCAGCCAATCCTTTAGTGTCTAAAACTAAACGTTTATTATTAAGAAAAAAGAACAAGAAGAGAAATGTTAAATGGTAAAACAGTCACATACATACAAAGACTTCAGAGTCCATATATCAGGTTCCTAGCGGTATTGATGAGTTTGCTGGGTTGAAAGTCCCTCTGGAATACAGCCACAGCTTGGATGGGTCATTCAGTCCTTTGTTCAGAGTGTCAGTTTGTAGCAATGTTCCTCCAGAGGTAAGAAGCAGGACTGAAGACCAAATGGAAAAGATGCAACTGCCTTTTATAGTCTTCTGCCATGTGGTCTGTGCTTCCTTTGTTTCAAACACAAGCTGCCCAGCACATAGCTTGGAAGCCATTTCTGTCCATAGGCATGCCCCTGAATGCCTTGCTGAGTCATAAGGTGTATCCCTTGCCTTCTCTCAATGGGTCAGTTTTATAGCTGATGGTTCTTAATGGGCCATCAAGCAGGCTAGGCAGTGGTGATGCCAAACTGTCTGGGGATGTCACCCAGAAGCATACCACAAGTTTGAAATACAGACATACATATCTATAACTCACAATATAAAGGTGATACAAACACATAAACAAGATTATAATATCTGGCAAATAATAACATTTTTGCAGATATCTTGCATGCCCTATCTGGCATAACTCATTGCAATTTTACAATATTGCTATTCATAATATCCTAAAGTGTCCCCCAGATTCCATATAGGACTGTTGTGACAATTGGGTCTACAAATGTACCTGAATTGTGAGCTCAACTATAAAAAGCATGTAAAAGTTCATAAAATGTTACGATATCCCACAATAACAAATATTAATGGGAAAAAGTAACTGACTTAGTCTAAACCAAAAAGCCAAACTGATATGATTCAAGGACTGTGTTAATATTACGCTTGTTAAAAACAAGAGATGTGAAGCCAAAGTTAATGAACCAAAATTGGTTCATTGACTCAGCCTAATTGGTAGACAAAATAATGAGGGGAGGAGCTATTCCACCCATCATCCTTTTTTTAAAGTCCTTAAAAGAAAAAGATTTTTGTGAGGAAAGGACGAAAGAACTAAACGAAAAACTGGAAAGAACAGACAAGCTACTGGAGCCAGCTTCACCATTCTGGCTGCAACCCCACTGTTTCCTGAGCCCCTGGGTCTTCATCATCCTGACCCTGAGAAGTGTCCTGACCAGAAAGAGAAGGACACAGATGACATGGCCACCCCAATAGGCTCCAGCAGAATCCCAAACACCACCTGGAATGATAGTTACCATCTTTAATACGGTCAAACAGGGGGGCTTTCCCATCTGATACTGGCCTTTAATAACAACATCATCAATGACAACCCCAGCCTATCTCAACTAACTTCTTTTCTTTTCCCCAAAAAGACAGTGTACTAGTATCTTTAATACAGACTAAGAGACTGTCAAACAACAGGGTAGGGCTGGAGGAATTCCTTCTAAAAACTCTCTACAGCTAAAGGGAAAGGGAACAAGGGATATTGTTAAAAGAAAGCCTTACTTAAATACTTTACATTTCAAATGCTTTAACTGTTTTCCCTTCTTTTCTGTATCTTTAATATAAAGTTAAAAGGATTTTAATGGTGTATTTGCTGTTGTGCTAAGCAGGCTGAAATCTCTGTAGACCAAGCCCTGGTCCTTGTGTATCACTGTTTAATGTTGGACAGTGACTGGGTTATGTTAACACCTTTAGCCAATATATTCCATCTAAATTAATACAACAGGATTCCAAACGTATTAAACTTAATTCAATAAGGTTTAATTTAGGCCTAGTCTACACTAGGAAATTAGGTTTGTATAACTATATTTTGCTGGGGGGGTGTGAAAAATCCACAACCTTTAGTGACACACTTAAACCGACAGAACTGCCTCTTGGGGAGGTGGGATACCTATGCCAATGGGCGAATCCCCCCATTGGTGTAGGTAGTGTCTTAACAGAAGTGCCACAGTGGTGCACTTGCAGTGGTGCAGGTGTGCTGCTGCAGTATTTTAAGTGTACACAAGTCCTATATTCAATAAAGTTCACTCAGAATATTGTAGGAAATTGTCAGTCTTGTCACAGTTACATACGGCGGCTTCTTCTATTTTTCTAATGTTAAAAAAACCTCAGTTTTAGCCAGCCTTTCTTTATACGTCATAAAGAAAGCTGCAAAAAATAGGTAGATGTCTATATTGCGAGGCGGCATTGCCTAATGGTTTGAGCAGTAGACTGGGAGCCAGGGGACTTGGGTTCTCATTCCAGTCTGCCCCAGGCTTGCTGTGTGACCAGTAACAAGTCAGTTTGTCTTTTTCCCCTCCAGCTCTTTTTTTTTTCTCTTAAGACTGTACACTCTTTGGGGCAGAGACTGTCTTACTATGTGTTTGTACAGAGCACTGCACAGTGAGCCCTGATCATGGTTCGAGCCGCTAGACACCATTGTAATACAAGTAATAGTAAGTCTTTTTTTTTTTTTTTTTTTTTTTTGCTGGCCACCTTTAAGAAATTTGTGGATTATAGAATGTGAAGCTATATGCCCAGGGAGCCCTAGTTACTGGTATTTGTGAAATCTGTTATTTACCCAGTCAGTGGTGCCTTTGCTTAAAATCCCTGGGAGGCATTTTAATCCTAAATTATATATGTATATCTTGGTGCTTAGCTGCATCTTTGAAATGCCAGAACATTAACAAAAATGAGAAATAATAAATAAATTTTGTGAGTTTTTAAGCACAGACTCTGTGCACCAGAGGGGGTGTTTGGCCTTCAGGAATGCTGTCTAAAAAGGTTTTAAGGATGGACGAGAAGCAGTTCCTTTGATGGATGAAGTACAAATCGTTATTGTTAAGGAGTCTTCCAAGGATGCTCACTTTCGGGATCTCCAGCCCCAGTAGGTAAGAGTGAGCTGAAAAACAACGGCCCATTTAAAAAGAAGAAGAAAATGCCAATAAAGGATCCCCCACTTCCAAGCAGCCACCTTTTTCTAATTTCCTTATTGCCCATTCTAAAAACAAAGTCCTCTGAAAGGAACTCGAAATGTGCAACACTAATCAGTCAAATCCCTGCCAAACAAATCTTTTGTTAAATTATACGCACTAAATCAAAACTCTGGACTCAGCAGGGCCTGATAGTGGACGTTCTGCCTAGTAAGCATGATTTTTTAAAGCCTCCTATTTCTGCTGTATTGTTAAGCAGATCTCGCGATACCAGCCTCATCTCTCCTCACTGTATATAGTGGGGTATCCAACATTTCTGTAGATCACATTTTTGGTTTGGCTTCTGCTTTGGCTTTGGTTTGCATCCAGCAGAAAATGTCTCAGTATTCGGGAAAAGTAAGTAAACAAACAACTGTTTGGTCCTCCGTTCAGGCCAAAGAGCCAGAGTTCTCTCTAGGTTGAGATAGTAGGAATTTTCCTAGGTTAGGGTAAGGCAAAGTGAGATCATGTGGTGATACTGTTAGTAATGAATGCGGAGAAATGGAAGCGAAGTTGTTAAGGAGGGGAAAGGAGCAACTAGAATGGGGTGTACTTTGGTAGCTGTGCTTCCTGTTCAGACACTTATATTTACAAAAGAACAAGAGAGAGGTGGTATAAAAGCCACATGCAGTGTTGTAAACTTGAGCTGTGTTACAATTCTCATTAAAACAAATAGTCCAGTGTCAATTTAGTTCTCCTCTGGTTGGACTCAGAATTAAAGAACCACTGTGTCTGCCAGAGACACCCATCTGCTCAGAATAACAATGCATAGTACAAGCAGGCAGTCTGTGTTTGCATGTGCCACAATACAGCATCCTCTCCCTCCTCATTTCAGATCACTTTCTATGAGGGCAAATACTTCACAGGCAGGAAGCTGGAGGTCTGTGGGAACTGTGATAACTTCCAGGACAGAGGTTTCATGAACCGAGTGAACTCTATCTGTGTGCAGAGTGGAGCTTGGATCTGTTTTGGTCACCCAGACTTCCGAGGACAGCAATACGTTCTGGAGCATGGGGAATACCCCGACTTCTACCGTTGGAATGGCCATAATGATCGCATGGGCTCCTGCAGGCCTGTCGGAATGGTTAGTGCCAACTTTCAATTAGTTTCCAAGAGGTTTGTTTTTGTTGCTGAAATATCTGGTTGAGGGGGTCGCATTTGTGCTTTTAGCTTCCATGTTAGCTGGAGTCTAAATAAATATCTGAGAAAACGAGCTTTATAGAAATAATGCACAATTAGGAGGTAAAAAGCATTCTGGGGAAAGTAGACCCTCTATGAACAGTCTTCATAGGCCACAAAATAGCATAACAATTTCCCATGCTTTCAGGACAAGGGCAGAAACTGTATTCTGTCTTCCAAGTCAGCAGTTTTAATAGGGTACGATTTTGCTGTGGTTTTTATATGTGAGGGCAATGCCCCTACAGCATCACATGCATTTATTTGTAATGTTAAATATTATGAAATATTTACATGCAAATGAATTGCAAAGTTCTGTGCACAAGGCAGGGCTCTACTCTCATATTCTGCTCTCTCTGTGTGTGCAGAACTCCTGATGACACCCACTAGCAATCTATGTGTATACAGGGAGGAGAGGCCATTGGAATCACAATTTGCTGTGCAAACCAGAGAGGAGGATGTTGCTGTGGGACAGCTCTCAGGCTCCTGGCAAAGTCACCCACCTTATCTCTTGTGTTTCAAATTCTGAGCACCCCTGAATTAATACCAAATATGGCCCAGATCACACAAAGAAACCAAACAAACAGAGCAGAGAGCCTTTACCATGCCGGGGAAGAAGTGGGAGGATTTGCAGCTGGAGAAAAAAATTGAACCTGGTTTGAGCTTTCCATTTGATCCCAACATCACCTGCTACTGATGGGAGAATGATTAAAGAAAATTACTCGCAGGTTATTGCCACTTACAGGTTGATACAGCCACCAAGTCCCATTGGGTTGTAGCTTTCTTTGGTGTTGTGTAAAACTTAGCCTAAAAAAATGGGAGGGGGGGGGTGTAGATATGTGCATCTCCTGTGAAGTTTTAGTCCATGTGCAATACATAAGACCACACATACTTCTCTAGACTCCAGAGCATCCTCTCAAATTTAGGAATCCACTCACTACTCCTATACAGGCAGCTCCTATTGGCTGACCAGTACCCAGCAAACGAAAATGAGGCTATACATCAACAGGTGCCTCTTTGGACTAGGTCCACTGCGGGCCCTGTTCTCCATTAAATAAATCTGGTGTCTCACTAACCCATAAGGATTTGTCAGCCAATGAGCCAAGCTGCTGAAGGGGACCTTTTCTTACATTTTAAACTGCCATGAGAAGATATCAGCGGGAGCTGTACCAAGCCAGTACAGCTGTCTGTCCCATGCTGCTCTGGTTGGCGTACGTGGCTGGAGGATCCTGCACAGAGCTGCTCTTAGGACTCTACCGAGGAGGTATTGATTGGGGCCAGGAGGAAATTGCTACGCCACATGGGAAGAATGAAGGCTGTATGGTGTCACCCCCATTCAAGCTTGTGTGTTGCACAAGTCAAAGGTTGGCTGTAGCCCTATGCTTGGTGCTCCATTGGTTGACCCTTGTCACCCCTCCTTAGTATTAATGGTTTTTTTATTCTTGGTTGGCACACCCTGGGGCCTGTTGCTGATTTACTAACTTTGCTGGGTGAGATGCATCACTCCCTTAGCCAGGCTGAGGGGAGGTAAATGTACATCTTTGGGGTAGTGGACTCTCTCTCTCTCTTTTGGCTGATGTTGGAACCAGGCCTTTTCATTCAGCAAGGGGAAAGGTTGTCTTTATATTAGCATTTCAACGAGACTCCTAAGGCATGTCCAGTGCAGTGCCCCGATGGCAGAGTTATAAGTCTATTGTGTAGGGGGCAGTTTCCAATGTTTAATACAGAATCCAGAGAGGGGAATATGAGCTTGTCAAAGGTACCACATAGAACCTTGTTTCCAGATCCATGGAGACCCACTGAACATCTGTGGGCCAGTAGCCATGAGTGCTTTTCTTCCCCTCAGGCCTGTGCTCCATTGCTCTTACACAAGTGAGAGTTTTAAAATATTTCAACAATTCAGGCAACAGTTACACAGAAGAATGTTTGGTCAGGAATGGTATCTGAGATTTCACTGCTGGAGAATGCTATGGGATTTTTGGCACTACAATGTAGCTTTTTCATGCATAATGCAATTTATATGAAAAATATATTAGCTATTGTCTGAATTCTGCTTAAAAAAAATCTTTTGACCAGCTCCATCACAAATACCTATGGAGAAGACAGGAAAATTTCCCCAAAGACATTTACCTCAACTCACCCTTGAAGGCTTTCATAGCTAGGACTCTGGGAAGATATTTTCCTTTTCTTTTTAAAGAAAGGCACAACAACTTGTGTAAATAACCACAGATATGATTGGAACTGAAGAAAAGTACAAACTGGGGAAATAATCTAATACCTCTGTGTATTTTGGATTTATTAAATTTTTTTGCACTATGTTCTTACTTCTTATACTTTTGTTCAATTACATTTCCAATATTGTGTGTGTGTGTATGGCATTTTGGGTTTTTTTTTTAAATGTATATGTGGAGTGGAAAATGGTTGTGCTTATAGTGTTTGTGTGGTGTGCGTCTTTGTGAACAGTGTTTAAGTACTTGTTTGGTGGGGGAGGGGATTTAGAGGTGAAAGGTGTGGGAGTATGTGTGGTAAGTACGGTGTGGGAGTATGTGTGGTAAGTACAGCGTGAGCAATACGTTTGTGTGTGACCAGTGGTTATGCAGGTGTGTGGATGTAAGTAGAGGTATATTTTGGGGAGGAGTTTGTGTGTGCTTTTTTGTGAGTGAGCTGTTTGTGAGAGACATTTGTATGTTTATGTGGGTATTTGGGTGGGTATTGTGAGCATGTGTTTGTGGGTGGGCAGTGTTATTGTTGGGTTTTTGCCACATTTCCATGATGAGGTATCATTCTTGCTTTCTGGTTATCTTTCACAATCAGGGGAAACAATTTGATGCATTTTCTTTTGAGTTTACTCAAATCTCTTTGTCCCCAGCACGGTGAGCATTACAGAATGGAAATATTTGATGGGAGCCATTTTAGTGGTCACTGCATGGAGTTCACTGAAGATTGCTCTTTCCTGCAAGGGCAGGGCTGGAACAAGAACTGTGTCAATGCCATCAAAGTGTATGGAGATGGAGCGTAAGTAAGCAAAGGACATAAAAGGAATGCAACTGCTATGTAATTCTATCTTGAAACACAATGAAGCTCGCTCCCCACACAAGCCCAATCCACTCTGTCACAGGGTAGCTGGTCTCTGTGGATAGGCTGAGCCCAGCTCCTCGGACTGGAGCAAGTGAGCCTAATCCAGCTAATTAAAGAGGGGTGGGCTACACCTCGGTTCATAAAGGGGGAGGGTGGCAGGCTGAGCCCGAGCAGCAAAGGCCACACTGGAGTGGCACCAACTCCTGTGGCGAGTTGTGGAGCAAGAGGGGAGTTCAGGGAAGCAATCCTGCGGCTGCCGCTCCAAGGAGGAAGCAGAGCTGGCTGAGGCTGGAAAGCTGCCAGGAGCTGGACTGTCAGAGACCCGTAGGTAGTGCTTAATCTGTGCCAGGGCTGAGTACCTCTAGGCTTGGCACTTCATAGCCCCAGCACCTCTGGGCTTACTGCATCAGTAATGACCGTAAAAAAAAAATTGCTTGAGCCCCGGCACCTCTTTCCTTACAAATTAAGCACTGCCCGTAGGAGGGGTGGCCCTGAAGCCTGGGGGCCAGGTACTGACTTAAGAGTGCACTCTGGTTGTTTGTTTAACCTTTGTTACAAAAGAATAAACCTCCTTGCCTGGGACTGGGGGTGGCAGTGAATGTTTGGAGCTGGGGTGCAGTGGTGACTATTCCACTAGAATTGTTGAAAAGACTCCCATTGGCTTCAGTGGGAGTCAGCCCTAAGAGAGGGTTTGCACCGGAGGAGGAAGTTTGGTCATCTTGATCTATACATTTATTTGTGGGGAGGGGATTAAATGTAAATTGAGTAATCTTAACATCTACAAGAGGTTGCTAATGCTTCAGACAAAAAGTGACGGTTCTTCCTGGTAGGGTTTAGGAGTCATTGAAGTCTTTACCTTGAAAATAATTTTTCTCTACAGACAATGGCAACCACCAGTTAAAATGTAGTGGATTGGGTGCAGTAAATGGCTATCTGGCTTGCTATTTCATGAGTTTGCTAGAGAGCTGACAGTATTGAATAAGTGCACAGACTGGGAGGATTAGCCACTTTGGGGGTTTGCTACTGGGACATGGAGCCTTTTGACCCACGAGGTTGCTGGTTTGAATCCAGCCCAGGTTAGCAGTGAGTGTTTACATGTGCTGGTTGTTTGGTGGCATATGTGAAATGAGCTGGTGGCCTCAGTCCAGTTCCTAGTAGTCAGGTGTCTGAATCACAAAGCCAACACCATAGCTACCACTAACCTTTTGTAGTTTTTTTCTCTCCTGCTGGTAACAGCTCACCTTACCTGATCACTCTCGTTACAGTCTGTAAGGTAACACCCATTGTTTCATATTCTCTGTGTATATAAAATCTCCCCACTATATTTTCCACGGTACGCATCCGAAGAAGTGAACTGTAGCTCACAAAAGCTTATGCTCAAATAAATTTGTTACTCTCTAAGGTGCCACAAGTACTCCTTTTCCTTTTTCTGGATACATACTAACACGGCTGCTACTCTGAAACCTGTCTAATTCCAGGTTGTCATGGGGAGGAGCTTCCTTATGAAGATGGTTCCTGCTTTCCCACTCTCCATTAGAAGTCCTGTGGGATTCCCCAGCGTGGCTTCATGGTACTTAGAGATGAGCCAAGGCTACAGCATTTGAATTTGAATGTAAATGTTGATGTCTCACACCTTGAAGAGGGGCGTGTGTGTGTGATTTTCAGAGGCACTGAGCTGCCACAAAGCCCACAGACTTCAATAGCACTTTGAAAAATCAGTACTCAGTTCATTGCCCGATGAACGTAGGCTTCTAGCTTCTGTCACTCATATTTGACAATTTTGGGTCATAATCTCTCTGAATTTCATTCTCCCTGTGTTTAAAATGAGGATAATAATATTTCCCTGTATCACAGTACTCTTCTGAGGCTACATTCACTGTTGCCTTGTGATCCTTCATTGTAGCAGTGCAAACTATGATCAGCCCAGTTTCTGTCTCCCCTACATTTTCAGACATCCTTGAAACCTTTTGCAAAGTGAGGGTTGTGCGGAGTTTGCCCTTTGTCACTGTTTCAGGGGAATTAACGTTTTCAGGGGGAAAAAACTTGTCTCCTTTTATCAGGAACACATTTGTTGTTTTTTGTTATGTCATCAGTTATTTTTCTGTTTTCATTGTACCACATTTCCTTTTACCAACAAACACATTTCGTTGGAAGTGTGTGTGTTGGGGGTGTGTGTGTGGAGGGGAAGCAGAAAGCCGCAGAATTCTCTCAGAGCCAGGAAGTGTTTGGCTTGTGCAAGGCACAGCTGGGTCTGTGGTTACACATGATGCTTCCATGCTAAGAGAGCATCTTCACTGAGGGTGATGGGTGAAAAGAAGGGGAAGATCTTACTGAAAGAAGTTGGAGCAAAGGAGCCCTATGACCATCATGTGATTTGGTGGTCTGTGTTGGAGGGGATTGGCCTGGATTATTGCACAACCCACACCTACAAATTGTTTTGATGCTGGGCATCAGAGGCGGATTAAGATTTATTGGAGCCCTGGGCAAAAAGAACATTTGGGCTCTTGCTCTGCCCCCTATTCCTTCCCTTCCTCCCAAGGCCCCACCCCCTGGCCTGGCTGGAAGCTGGGCTGTGGTAAGAGCTGCCCAGGGAGCCTGGGCCCCTGTGGGGAGCCCTGTACCCTCCACCTGCCCTGGGCAGCACATCTTGGGGGGACAGGGACATGTGCTAGGAGCTGCTCTCGGGCACCCCAGCCCCCCCATCCAAAGCAGGTGCAGGGCTCCTCACAGTTGTCTGGGCTCCCTGGATGGCTCTGATCAGAGCCTAGGGCAGTGGTCTCCAAGGTGTGGGACACAACCCCTGGCGGGGCACAAAGGAACATTCGGGGGGGTGCAGTGGGGCCCAGCCCTGCACCCAGTCCCAGCTGCGGCTCTGCTCTTGGCTGCGGCTCCGCTTCCAGCTGCAGCTTTGGCCCCGCTCTCAACTGCGGCCCTGCTCCTGGCCCCCAAATCCGCTCTGCTCCTGGCCCCTGCTCCTGGGGGGTGCAGACAGGGTTGGGGGAGGGGCGTGATTGAAATAGTTTGGGAACCCTTGGCCCCAGACCTCCTGATATTTTTGGCAAAACTGGGCATTTTTCTTGCTTGTTCTTGCCAACTGATCACCAAAATGACAAATGCCCAGTTTTGCCAAAAAGGGGCTTGTTGGGGGGAGCAGCAGGGCTCAGACCAGCCCTACACAGAGGACTTGGGTGAGGGGCTCAGGCCAGCTCTGTGGGGAGGCGGGGAAAGGAGTTTGGGCCCATTGCTGTAGGTCGTGTCTTCACGGAAACACTACAGCAGCGCAGCTGCCTTTGGAGCATAGGCAAGCCCTAAGGAGCTGCACTCACATCCATTCTCTGTTGCCCATCTAGCCAGTTAGGGGTCGATCACGCACATAACCAGCAATCTGTTGCTGTTGACTGAAGAGAACAACCTTCGGTCATGGTTCAGATTGCCAGTTACACGTGTGATCCAATACACAACTTCCACCCTCTTGCCCCAGGATCCCAGAGACGATATTCTTGCTAAACTGTCCCTTTCACTGGATAAGAAAGGCGTTTCAAACACAGTGTGGGGAAGGCTGCATTAGCCTGTGTCTCATCAATTTAGGTTGCCTCAGGCATGCCACATGCCAGTGCATGACACAATCTGACATGGCATGCTGCTGAATCACCCCCTTGGCCAGCACTGCGGTGATCTGTTCTCCTGAGACTCCAAACCTGGAGAGAGAGCCCCTGCGAATGCTCACTGGGGATAATACACATGCTCACTCACTGACTCAGGGAAAGAGAGCTTCAGGGTGCAGGTTTTCCATTAAAACCCTCTTTAAAGAGGGTTGCTTGGCCCTTAAGCTCTCCTCCAGCTGTGCCGTAGTATTAAGGGTTAGAAGCAAGGAATAGGTTCTTAGAATATTGGAAATTGTGGAGATGAAGGAAGAAGGGGGCACACATCAGGGCCCTAATTGTGCCCTGGGTGATCACTACTTCCCACCATCCAACACAGATGTAATGAGGTTGAGTAGTGTCCGTATAAGAGAAAATAAAACTACTAATTATTCCTCAAAAAAGATTTTTAATGACTTCCGGCTATAAAAGCAACACAGACAAAATAAGAAAAGAAAGATTAAAGACCAGCACTGAATAAGGATTAATATAAATGGCAAGTTGTACTGAAGACAAGCACAAGTACATGTAATGTTATTCATCAACTACCTACTACTATTCTTAACGCTATAGTATCGATACAAACTTGAGATCAATTCAGCTCAAGCAACCAGACTTCTTTACTCCATAACCTTACCCTGCATTCGTCCAAAAATACATTACCCTTCAGTCGGCTGGTTTCCGCACTGGCCAGGTACAGACAGTCGAGAAGTGCATGTCCCTTCCATTCAGGGGGTGTGGGTCAGGTTTCCTGATCAAAGAGAGGTCCCCTTATGATCAAACACACACATCTTAGTCCTGTGCCTTCATACTTTTTATCTTATTTGTTGACGGGTTTTAAAACAGACCAAGCTATTAGGGTGGGCCAAATTTTTAGTGTGGTTACTTTGATATTATAAACTATGTGTGGGTGCATAGTTTATCTTTATGTAGCCAATTATTTCAAATGTGGTTGCTTTAATATTATAAGCTATGCTTGGGTGCATAGTTTATCTTCATACATTTGACCCGGCCTAAAGTGTTATCTGGTTGCAGCGCATCCTGACCTCAAGTTTCAGTTTAACTTTGCAGAGCTTGCTTTTTGAAGCTTCCAGAAGTTTGAGGCTAACATTGACAATACCTTTGTTCATTTTTAGTTTAACAATAGAATCATAGAATATCAGGGTTGGAAGGGACCTCAGGAGGTCATCTAGTCCAACCCCCTGCTCAAAGCAGGCACAATCCCCAATTTTTGCCCCAGATCCCTAAATGGCCCCCTCAAAGATTGAACTCACAACCCTGGGTTTAGCAGGCCAATGCTCAATATCCCTCCCCCCAATACTTTTGTTCATATTGATCACAGAAATAAATGATTTAATTATTTTTTAAATTCTATATTAATTTACCTTTCCATGTAGCTGAGAGTGGGATTCTTTTAGGATTGTCCCATTCCACCCCTTATCTCAGCCTCAAAGGCCCCATGTCAAGACAAGCCATCCCTCCAGATGAGGCAGGTTCTAGACACAGCTCCTGTCCTTGTGTCAGGTTGGTCTATCCTTCCATCTGCAAAGGGCTCTGGACACTGCTGTGGGCCACGATGCTGGGCCAGCCTGTCCTTCCAGGCGAGGAGGGTTCTGTGCCAACTCTCTCCAGATCTTGCCAGCATAACTTCAGAATCATCCCAAGGGTGAAAGATATGGAGAACAACATGAGGGATGACGTCCACTATCTTGCATGAACACGCTGTTTCCAGAGCATTTCACAGCCCCTTCCGGTCAATGTGTTAAGATGAGAAACATGGTGGATTTTACTGTGTGTGCAACAGCAGACTCTTCCTCTCCACTACCCTTCTGCATACATCTGGCAGCCCCCAAACTCAATCCCATCCTGCACTACTGTGTGAACAGGGTGGGCTTTTGTAATAAAGCATCCTATTTTATATATAACAATTTTTTATCCCTAGATCTCAAAGCTCTTTACAATGCAGAGTAAGTCACATTATCCCCATTTTACAGATGGTGAAAATGAGGCACAAATGTGAAGTGGCCCCACAGCAGGTCAAAGGCAGAGCCAGGAAGAGAATGCAGGTCTCCTGAACTCCTAGTCCAGTGCCCTATCCACTAGGCAAAGCTGTCTCCCATAATAGGCTTTCAGGGAGATGCAAGGTTCTTTGCTCCCCAGGGATCTTTTGATGATGTATCCTACTTGTGGCTTTTGGAAGGTAATTATGTTCCTTTGCTAATTTTCCATGCACAATATCAATTGGGCACAGAAATCTTCGCTTCCTGTCCTAAGTTATTATCTGGAGGTGCTGTTGAACAGCTGCCAAATTCTGTCACAGAGGTTGCTGCACTTAAATGGTTAGTGTCCAGAGTGATTCCTATCTTATGTGTAAATGAGTACACTGCATGTAATTTGAATGAAAAGTCTGTCCATCTAATGGTATAGCTTAGTGTAAGTGAGCATAGCATCTACCTTATGTAGCGTTGGTCCATTACTGGGGCTTCTAGGTACAACTTCAATGTAAATAATAATAATAATACGATTGTAAGGCATTATTGAAAATGAAATCTGCTGCTGAGATTTTGATTTCATAGCAATTTCTAAGATAGTGCCATCTAGCTGAAAATGTGACAGTTTTTGGGTGAAATATGGCCATTAGAGGTGACTACTTTTTGGAGCCTGGTAACCTGGTATTTTGCTTTCAATAGATGTTTTCTGTTCCACATACAGTGTCGTGCATCGTTTCTCTTCCAGTACCACAAATAGCATAATCTGACGTGACACATGTCTTGTTCCTTTTAAGGTTCAGTGATTGCAAGAGATTGTTTGTTTGGCAAGAATAGCATTGAAGAGCTGGAGGTTTTTGTTTTTAAAAAAAATTGGTGATAATGCACAAAAGTAATTTGTGAAAATTGAGATCACAGCCTTGCGATTAATAATTGACGATAATTTTGAAGATTTTGTTTAGATTCACATTTACATCAGAGCCTCCACTAAATTCCAACGGTGACTGAGCCGGAGTATTTGAATTGACCAAAATATTGTGACATTTCCTGTACTCAGACTAGAAAGCATTTCAGATAAAACAGCAAAGTCAAACAGTGGGGCCCAATCAATGCTTTTTTTATATATATATATATATATATATATATATATATAATGGGAGATCGCTGTGTGCTGCATTGATCAAATCGATTTGCATTTAGAATAAAAGTTTATTCGAACATTGCTCAAAACATGTGGTTCAGAAGCTGTATTTTGATTAAAATGATCAGCCTGCAGCACTCTCTTAACCGAGCCACGAGGTTGGTTTAAGACCTTCCAACATGTCAAATTCAAATTGGGGGGAAAAAAACCAGCCAAGAAATGAACCTTGTGGAATTCCATGGAAGAGGGGCCTTTGAGAAGGTCACTTCTCACCAGTCACAGAGAGAGAGAGAGAGAGATTGATTAGATCTAGGCATGGGGAACCAAGTTTACTTTTCTAGATAAAGGGGGGTTCAGGAAGATGGAGTGTACTTGGACTGTTTGGGGTGGGGATGGTCTCGTCCTGTGTGTGTACAGCGCTCAGCATGATGGGGCTCAGATCTCAGTTGGGACCTCTAGATGCTGTTGTAACACAAATAATAAATAATATGATGGAGTGGTCCAGGATGGCTGGGGAATAGTCAAAAGGGAGCTCAGAAGTTAAGGAGAAGGAGCCAACAGCACTAAGGAGGTTAACTCCACAGAGGAGAGCAGTTTCCATTCTGTGTCCAGATTGAAACTGGACAAATATATTGACTGGGATTTGACCCAGAGGTGAAAGTCTTGTGCCCTTAGGAAAGCAGTGCTCCTTAACTTCCAGGGTGAAATCTGACAAAGGGATTCAGCAAGGGACCAAAGATGGTTTTTACTACTGTGCTGCATAAATGCTTTCCTGAGTAATCCATTCATTCTCTGTTTTAGATGGGTGCTGTATGAGGAACCCAATTATCGTGGCCGTATGTACGTTGTGGAGAGAGGAGAGTACAACAGCTTTAACATGTGGCAAGCTCACAGTGCAAATATCCAGTCCCTCAGAAGAGTCGTCAACTACTTTTAACTGAGTTATTCTTGTACAAACAATGTCCCGGTGCAAACTGGAGTTCAATCTTCCCCTCTGCTCCCTCAAAGTGTGCAATAAATTCTTAAGAGCTGCTGTTGGCTGCAGGTATTTTTCCCCCATTACATGAGAGACGATGCTTTGCTTGGTTAGATGGCCTGACAGTACTTTGATTCATAAAGCAGAGCACATGGGCTTGCTTTGCTGCTGTCCAGACGAGGTACCAGTACTGGCAATGCTAAACCAGCACATTATTCACATGCAGTCTGTTGCACCTGGTCCAAAGCCCACTGAAGTAATTGGACATTTTTTCACGGACTTCAGTGGGCTTTGGATCAGGCCCATTATTATTATTATTTTATTTTAAAAGCCACCATCCCACAAGTATAACATCTCGGAACATTGTTCTGTTTAATTCCAGAAGGGAGACTTGTGAACTCCTGCGGCCACAATCCGCTGGGATTTTCTGTGTGTGCCTTTGAAAAGCAATATAAGAATATAGATGTTTTTCTCACATAGCCCACGTAGCACCTTTCCTTTTCTTCTTCTTAAATGGATACATTTAGCCCTTTGTATTTCTTGGGTGTTCTCAATTGGTCCTTTCCTAACTCTGCATCCCAGATTCTATTGATCTCTGGTGCAGCTTCACATGGGCTGCCAGGGGGATATAGACAGGGTGGAGCTGAAGGGCCAAAAGCTCGGTCTTTTAAATTATTTACAAAATACATAATGAGATTGCTTTTGTGTGGTCAGCGACACATCGCCCTGAAAGGTCAGATGGCTCTTTTCCCATAGGAGCATAAACTGCATATGATATTAGCTACACTGTTTCTGGCCAGTTTTTAAAGGGATAATTTTATTCTCCTTTTCACTCCCTCTGGTATATATTGGTTTATTATATTCGCTGTTCAGGCTCATTTGTCTGATGGTTACTGACAGGAACTGGCAGAATTCCTATAATGCTGAGCCGTTGCTTCTTCACTGCAAGTCTGTGCGTTAGTCCACTGGAGAGTCTGCTGACCTAAGCACTTTAGCTGTCTCTTCAAAGGGACACTGGAAAGGATGGCAGGCCCTGAGTGCATCTGAATGTGATGCAAGAGTGCACTTACAAAGGGCTGCTCCGCTCAGCAGTGCGTCTCTGTTCTGCCCTTGTGGAGTGGCATGCAGTGGAGTGAAATATACAAGAATTCTGTGATTTTAAGAGCGCAGAGAAAAGCAGAACTCTCTATTAATTGCACATTTATAATGGAGCACATGGATACACTTTGGAAGAATGGCAATCTGCATTGGAACTGCACATAGGCCTGTGTCCAGATCTGGGCACTGGTTCGATAATTACATGCCCACAGACATGTTGCTGAGGAGTGGTGTTTTTTTTCTTAAATAAATCTGGTTACATCCACTGGGTTTTGTTTTTGAAAAAGAATCAGCCGGACCTTGGAATGCCAAGAATGAGCTTTTTAAGGTGTCGGAGGAACAGCCGTGTTAGTCTGTATTCGCAAAAAGAAAAGGAGTACTTGTGGCACCTTAGAGACTAACCAATTTATTTGAGCATGAGCTTTCGTGAGCTACAGCTCACTTCATCAGATGTATACCGTGGAAACTGCAGCAGACTTTATATACACACAGAGAATATGAAACAATACCTCCTCCCACCCCACTGTCCTGCTGGTAATAGCTTATCAAAAGTGATCAACAGGTGGGCCATTTCCAGCACAAATCCAGGTTTTCTCACCCTCCACCCCCCCACACAAATTCACTCTCCTGCTGGTACTAGCCCATCCAAAGTGACAACTCTTTACATAATCAAGTCGGGCTATTTCCTGCATAGATCCAGGTTTTCTCACATCCCCCCCACCCCCATACACACACAAACTCACTCTCCTGCTGGTAATAGCTCATCTAAACTGACCACTCTCCAAGTTTAAATCCAAGTTAAACCAGAACATCTGGGGGGGGGGGTAGGAAAAAACAAGAGGAAACAGGCTACCTTGCATAATGACTTAGCCACTCCCAGTCTCTATTTAAGCCTAAATTAATAGTATCCAATTTGCAAATGAATTCCAATTCAGCAGTTTCTCGCTGGAGTCTGGATTTGAAGTTTTTTTGTTTTAAGATAGCGACCTTCATGTCTGTGATTGCATGACCAGAGAGATTGAAGTGTTCTCCGACTGGTTTATGAATGTTATAATTCTTGACATCTGATTTGTGTCCATTTATTCTTTTACGTAGAGACTGTCCAGTTTGACCAATGTACATGGCAGAGGGGCATTGCTGGCACATGATGGCATATATCACATTGGTGGATGTGCAGGTGAACGAGCCTCTGATAGTGTGGCTGATGTTATTAGGCCCTGTGATGGTGTCCCCTGAATAGATATGTGGGCACAATTGGCAACGGGCTTTGTTGCAAGGATAAGTTCCTGGGTTAGTGGTTCTGTTGTGTGGTATGTGGTTGTTGGTGAGTATTTGCTTCAGGTTGCGGGGCTGTCTGTAGGCAAGGACTGGCCAGTCTCCCAAGACTTCTGAGAGTGTTGGGTCATCCTTTAGGATAGGTTGTAGATCCTTAATAATGCGTTGGAGGGGTTTTAGTTGGGGGCTGAAGGTGACCGCTAGTGGCGTTCTGTTATTTTCTTTGTTAGGCCTGTCCTGTAGTAGGTAACTTCTGGGAACTCTTCTGGCTCTATCAATCTGTTTCTTTACTTCTGCAGGTGGGTATTGTAGTTGTAAGAAAGCTTGACAGAGATCTTGTAGGTGTTTGTCTCTGTCTGAGGGGTTGGAGCAAATGCGGTTGTATCGCAGAGCTTGGCTGTAGACGATGGATCGTGTGGTGTGGTCAGGGTGAAAGCTGGAGGCATGTAGGTAGGAATAGCGGTCAGTAGGTTTCCGGTATAGGGTGGTGTTTATGTGGCCATTGTTTATTAGCACTGTAGTGTCCAGGAAGTGGATCTCTTGTGTGGACTGGACCAGGCTGAGGTTGGTGGTGGGATGGAAATTGTTGAAATCATGATGGAATTCCTCAAGGGCTTCTTGAGGTGGAATTTTAGGAGCTGCTCACTGTGTCAGTGTTCCCGTTAATTGCCTTTATTTTTGTGGCTTACTTTCCAAACATATATATTTTAAATGTACTTTGTAACTTTTTTGTCCACCCTTTCAATTCAACATTATTTGCTTAGTATTGCCCTGTACAAACAACAAAATTAGGGCATTTTATTGGAATGATGCTGTAATAAATGGGCCTGTAGTTGTATGAATATGTATGTATGACATATTATGAAGCTATCAGTTGTGATGCCATAGTTAAGATTGCACTGAGATTTCCAGTTAAAGCAGAACTAAAATCCATCTGTTCCACACCTTAATGATTGAATTTGTTGTGTCCAGTTTTGGCATAGTAGGACATAGGATAATTTGGTTTTCTATGAAATTTGTTTACAGAGGTATTTACTAACTTTTGCAGAAGAAGCACTTAATTATGTTTCTTTTTTGAAATATTGCCCTTTTCCCTCAAATTCCTTCAGGGTCTTCTATTTGAATCACCACTGTCCTCTCACACAAAAACACACACACATACAATGTGTCTCTGATATATGCCACTTTTTGAACTTTAAAACTAGATAAAAAGGACCAGATTCTCAACTGATATAAATCAGTACAGCTCCATTGAATTTGATGGTACTCTCCTGGTTTACACCAGCTGAGGATTTGGCCCATTAATAGTATAATTCAGAATAACACAATTAACATAATAGTTTTCGCCAAGACAAGCTGACACAACTGCTCAGATCCATCAGCTACTTTCATTTTCAGATGTTGGGAGCTTGTTTCTCCAACTTCCCTGCAGCTGTTGTTGTTTGAATTGCAGTAGTGCTAAGAGGCTGCAAATGAGACTGGAAGCCAGCTTCATAAGCCCTGTACAAACCCATGGTAAGAGACGGTCTTTGCTCTGAACAACTTAAAATCTACACAGGACAGGGAGAGAAACAGCAGCACAGAGAGGTGAAGTGGTTTGCGCAAAATCATGCAGCAGGTCAGTGGTCGAGCTGGTAATCAAACCTCAGTTTCCTGATCCCCACTCCATTAGTGCACACTGAACATGGCCCTGCGTCCAATGGACTCTGGATCAGGCCTCTGGTGAGCTGGTAGGATTGGTCAACAAGAGTAGGGAGGTGGGCTCTGGGAGAGAGCAACAAGCACCAAGGCAGCCTTAACACCAACCATAAATAGAATGCCTCAATGTGCAGTCAAGCAGATTTCCTTTCTGTCATTTCAGACAACACCCACCACATTTAGGACAATGATTAACACAAATCACCTGTTCACAGAAAGCTTCCTAAAAATTACAGGCTGTGTATCTCACACCACCATGAGCAGCCCAACATCATACTACACACACACACACACACTTACTTTATGGAAGCCACACTAACCCTATGTGAATCACTGGAACATATAGGGCTTTGTTTTCAGAGCTGCAGATGACCTTTAGGTTCCATTGACTCCAGCTGGAGCTGTGGGTGCTCGCACTTCTGAATACCAGGCCCCTGGGTAATAAGCATGGTCAGCATTAAAGCTTCCCCTTGGCGTGGAGATATGTGGGCTGTGGGTATTGGAATGCAGGTAGATAAGATTGAGGAGGAGAAATGAGTGGATTGTACATGGGGTGAAGAATGACAAGTGTTTGTATCCTTGTTTTTTTAGGATTCGTGTTGATGGGATGTGCAGTCCGGCGACCTTAGCTCTAGGTTAACAAAGATTTTTCTGTATGGGAGTATATATAAAATATGCTCTACTGATTGGAATCAGCATGTCTCAGCTATGCCATAGGCCTTCTATTGCTACAGCTAACGTAGCCTTTCCTTTAGCTCCAGTGGGAGGGGCCTGTGCTTTTAACACTGGAAGATCTGAGTTTAAGTTCCACTCTTGCCAAGAAGATCTTGGTGGTCTTGCTGTGTAGCATGATGACAACCGTGAAGTCCCTGGTGGTTGTGGATTTGTGTGTTTGCCAGCTCAACTGTACATGCAGGACATAATTGAATAACAGGACCAACAAAATGTTCAGAAACTTGCTAAAATGTTACTTATTTTCTAAACCGTGGCATAAAGAATGTAGCTGCTGA